GCGAGAATGTACTTGTTTAGACTACAAATATGTAATTTTCTTCCAACAAAACCTTGTTAGACACAGTCAACAAATGCACTGAGCAGCGCTGTCATCGGAAATCACCCTTAACAGATGAAAGGATAGTACAGCAAAGAGCCTATCACTTTCCTCAGTGGACATTCAAACTAATGTTTTATTGTGAATATGAGATTGAGCTGAAGAATGAATGCTGTATCAGATGCAGGTAATGAAGCAACTCTATGTTCCTTCGTTACTAGTTCTAAAGTGATGTTTTGGAATTAGTATCGGAGGCTTGGGCTCAGATGTTAAACTGTCAACTTTAGATTTGAATCCATGGCAGAAGGAAGTACACACAGAAAAAGCGTTTTTAAAGACAATCCGTTATTGTTTCTTATGTATTTACACACTTGTGCCATCAAACTGTTGTATAATTACAAAATATGATAACACTAGCATACTGGCTGTTTGATCATATCATTCAAATGTCTGGGATATATATAGGTATGAGCAATATCACATGAGTAGCCTGAGATATAGCTGTATATTGGCACGGCTGTGATTCGGCCATAGACCCAGACTTTTGAATGGTATGATTAAACAACCAGTATGCTAGTAATATGCATGCTAGTAAGCAACAAGTTAATAGTGAGAATTTGTCTTTAAAATAAAGTGTTATCAAAGTAACTTTCTTTTATATTTGAATGAATGTATTCCTGCGATTCTAATATATTGATTTGCTGTTCAAGAAACATTTCTTTCTTATTACTAAATTTCATATTTTGTGTAAAATGTAATATATTTGTTTTTCAGGATTTTTTGATGAATAGAAAGTTCAAAAGAACAGCATTAATTTAAAACAGAAATCTTTTTCACTTTTGTTATGCAAACTTGCTAAATAAATGTATTACATTCTCATTCTGAAGAGCTTTGATTGGGGAAAAAATCATTGCATATACCACGTCTCTTTAATAAAAGCTTGCAGATGGATCCACACGTCTCACGTCTCGTCAGCCCCGTTACAGCAATGCAGGAGTAGTCATCAATATATTTCTTGCTAATTTTTATCAGAAGAGTAATACTGTAAAAAGTGACCTTTGTGCTTTTTGTCAATGAAGTACACTAGTTTAGGAGAACACTAGCATATGTATAAAACAGCTGACAGCAGTCATTGACTTCCATAGTATTTTTCCTATGAAAAACAGTGGCTAACGTCCACTGTTTGGATACTAAGATTCTTCAAAGTATCTTCTTTTATGCTCAACAGGAGAAAGAAACTCATACAGGTTTGGAGCAACTTGAGAGTGAGTTAATGATGACAAGTCAAAGATAACAAAATTTTTATTTTTGTGTGAACTATCTCTTTAATACAAAATACCCTTAATTACAGTTACTAATAATACTCTCTCCTTTTCATTTTCTATGAACCACACAAATCATCATATACGTATAAATGTAAGAAAACTCACATACGATCACACTGTGTGTGTATATGTGTACACACTACTTTAAGAGAACACTAGCACATGTATATCTTAAAGTGGTCATCAGATGCGACATGCACTTTTACAAGTTGTTTGAACTGAAATGTGTGTTGGCAGTGTGTGTACACAACCACCCTATAATGATAAAGATCCACCCAGTGGGTTTTTTTTAATCTCATTAAATCGTTTCCCCTTTCTCATACCAAGCCATTCTTAGATGCCTGTCTGTGTGATGTCACACAGACAGGCCCCTCCCACGATTGTTGATTGACACTAGCGTTTTACCTTAAACCCACCCTGAGTGAGATGTCATCAGTCCAACATTGTTTCGACGCCGGAGCAGGAGTAGACCAGAATGTCTCCTAGCAGGGCTTTACAGTGCGACCGAAAACTACTGCGTGCGACTATGAAATAATATTTAGGAGCACCTGTGCGACTGACCTGGTCAGCATATTTGTGTTTGCACTGAGGGAGCTTCAAAGGTTCTAATATACGTACGTGTTTTAGCAGCGTTGAGTAATGTATCACAGACATATCCTCTCATTATAACAAACAAAGTGTTGACGGGGTGTAAATAAGATATTCATTGTGCAGTGTAGAGAGCTTCGTCGATTATAATGGAGTTTTGTAAGATCGGGATAAACTAAGATGAGCGACAGCTTTTAATGATTATTAAGGGAGTTTGCAAATGTGATATTGATTTAATACAACAGTTCATTAAACAAGAAGTTAATATTAAGTGACTTATATTGTCTGACAACAACACAATTGCCTTATTTTGCTCTATTTCATCGACGAAAATAGTAAAAAAAAAAAAAAAAACCTTAACAGCTGAGCCGCTGCGCATCGCCATTCAAACACAGCGGTGATTCGTCTATGAATGAACTGCGTTTTTAAACGAATCTAGTGAGTCAATGATTCAATTACCCATTCATAAAGACAGTCACGTACTTCATTCCTGAATGATTTCACCGGTAAACTGAAGCGCTCTTTTAACTTAACCAAACGCATTCTATATGAGATAAATCAGATATACATCAAATAAACACAATATTACAACGTACAATTGCACAAAAGGCTGCAAACGAACAGCGCGCATCTGAAGTGTCTCTGAAAGAAATAATGCATTATTTATCGGCTTTAAGATATCGGCCAAATTTTCTTATCAGGCCGATACCGATAACAGAAAAAATGAGCATTTATCGGCCGATACCGATATGGTGGCCGATATATCGTGCATCCCTAATTTCTATATTCAAAATGTTATATTTAAAACATTAAACTCAACATGAATTTATGAATTTAATTGCACTCATGACCTCTGAGCCTCATTAAACGTCTGAAAATACACATACAAGCCACTTGTGTGTTCTTCTGTGCCACCTCTAGCACAAATTTATTTCTTAAATACTGATTTCATTTGATTGGTAACTTATTCTTATTCTACTTGTTTTTATTCTGTTGTTTTAATTAGAAATGTTAAAAAGCTTATAAATATATATTTTTTACTTTTACATAAAAGATGACATACTTTTAATAAAGTTAGAAAAATGCTATTACAAAGGTAAAAACAAAATTCCCTGTAAATCACTTTAAGGAGTCAAATATCACCTCGTAATGAGAAGGTACATTTTTTTATCAGAATTTTTGATTACTGATTAGAAGGTGCTCCTAAATTTTTGACCGTGCTCCTAAATTTTTAAAATTAGGAGCTCAAGCGCTCCTAAAAAGAAAAGTATCCGTAGAGCCCTGCCTAAGCGTTTGAGGTGTTCTGTTGTTGGATGTAATAATGAACATAGCAGTCATCATTTACTCCCGACATCTGAGACGCTGAAGACGCAGTGGATTACCTTTGTTTTTGAAGGGAATGCGTCTCCCAATCTACCTAAATGTGTTTATGTTCGCGCGAATCATTCGTGATCCAGCTTCACCTCCAGAAGAAGTGAGTTTAAGGTTCTGAATCTTTCTGAATCTTTGCAAATCACCTTTCCTAATAACGTGCTAGTTAGCAAGTTCCGCGGCTAAAGTAAACAGTCTCATGAGAACGGCTTGTCACCCCACGGATGAGAGGGGCGGGGTCAGCAGAGCTCATTAGCATTTAAAGGAACATGGACTAAAACGGCTTGCTGAAAACAGAGCTGATTTTGACAGGGTAAAAAGGGTGTTTTACACTACAATTGAGAAATTGTAACCTAAGTATGTTATAGACTTTTCATTAAGACCCTAAAGAATCATATCAACTTGTGGAAAATGGGCATCCGATGACCCCTTTAAAAGTAACAAAAACACATATTTTACTATTTACTCAAAAAAATATTTGAAAGTACAAAATTCTTAAAGTACATAATCCATTGACAAGACTGTCGTGGGTTTTATAACTAGTAATGTGGACACAGTGTTATACGGTACCATCACACACTGGACAGCACTGGCCCGGCTGGGTGATGGGGTTACTACATCCTGGGTTTGGACATGGCCTCCTGTTGCAGGTCACCTGACCATTCCTGCACATGCAACGACTGCAGCGATCAGCAGGGTCTGGAAACTCCTGACCGTTCCGATACTCCCGGCCATCATACATGCACGCTAAAAACACAGAATACAACTCAATATAAGCATAACAATCAATTCATTAAAGGGATAGTTCACTAAAACAGCTGACAGTAGCCATTGACTTCCATAGGATTTTCCCTTTACTTTGAAAGTCAATGGCTACTGTCAACTATTTGGTTACCAAAATTCTTCAAATAAAGAAACTCATGCAAGCTTGGAACAACTTGAGAATGAGTCATGATGAAAATGATGACAAAAGTTTCATTTTTGAGTTAATTATCCCTTTAAACATAAAATACTCTTCATTAAAGCTATTAATAATACTCACTCCTAATAAACTGCACAAATTATTACCACAAAAATCAGTCTGAATGAACAATATAATAGCATTAATGGAAAGACTATTTAAAAAAAAGTAAGTAAACAACTCACACAACACTTAGATATAACTACTTTGTTATGTCAAAATAAGACTTAAAATTGCATAAAAACATGATTTGTGGGTTTTAAGTTTTAAGTGAATTATCAGCTTGGAGACATTTAAAGTAAACCTCTGTGTCTATAACCAATAGGCTATTTACAGAGCTTTGATGACTGATGAGCTGAAAAATTAAAAAAATATTCAAAAGTTAACTATTAAAAAGAATAACTGAACATAAGTTCACAAATAAAATATATGTGACCCTGGACCACAAAACCAATCATAAGTAGCACGGGTATATTTGTAGTAATATCCAACAATACATTGTATGGGTCAAAATTATACATTTTTCTTTTATGCAAAAAATCATAAGGATATTAAGTAAAGATCATGTTCCATCAAGATATTTTGTACATTTCCTACCGTAAATATATCAAAACATAATTTTTTATTAGTAATATGCATCACTAAGAACTTAATTTGGACAACTTTAAAGGCGATTTTCTCAATATTTAGATTTTTTTTTGCAACCTCAGATTCTCAAATAGTTGTATCTCAGCCATTGTCCTATCCTAACAAACCAAACATAAATGGAAAGCTTATTTATTCAAATTATATAAATCTCAATTTCAATTTGACACTTGTGACTGGTTTTGTGGTTCAGGGTCACATATTGCTTAAATTATTGTTGTGATAACTGATTAGACTAACCTGCTCATGATTTACTGCTAATTGCAAATTTATTTTATGTTTTCTACTGACACATTCATTGGGGTGTACTCATTTTTTCACCATGATCTTAAATTCATTTGTTATAATAGTTTCAATTTTGGCTTTGTTAATGATTAATCTAATTTAAAACCAATAAACCTAAATATAAGATTTGCACAAATATCTAATTGTAAAGAATCCATAGAAAGTATTGATTTAAAAGAGAGATGGATGTTTTTATAAGAAATATACCAGGGTGTACTCATTTATGCTGGGCACTATATATATATATATATATACTGTATATATATATATAAAACAAAAACATATTTTACTATTTACTCAACAAATGAAAAAACATATAAAAGTACAAAATGTATCAAATCCATTGACAAGGCTGTTGTGGGATTTGTAACTAGTAATGTGGACACGGTGTTATACGGTACCATCACACACTGGACAGCACTGGCCCGGCTGGGTGATGGGGTTACTACATCCTGGGTTTGGACATGGCCTCCTGTTGCAGGTCACCTGACCATTCCTGCACACGCAACGACCGCAGCGATCAGCAGGGTCTGGAAACTCCTGACCGTTCTGATACTCCCGGCCATCATACATGCAAGCTAAAACACAGAATATAACTCAATATAATCATAACAATCAATTCATTAAAGGGATAGTTCACTAAAACAGCTGACAGTAGCCATTGACTTCCATAGGATTTTCCCTTTACTTTGAAAGTCAATGGCTACTGTCAACTATTTGGTTACCAAAATTCTTCAAATAAAGAAACTCATGCAAGCTTGGAACAACTTGAGAATGAGTCATGATGAAAATTATTACAAAATGTTCATTTTTCAGTTAACTATCCCTTTAACATAAAAGACTCTTAATTAAAGCTATTAATAATACTCACTCCTAATAAACCGCACAAATTATTACCACAAAAATCAGTCTGAATGAACAATATAATAGCATTAATGGAAAGACTATTTAAAAAAAAGTAAGTAAACAACTCGCACAACACTTAGATATAACTACTTTGTTATGTCAAAATAAGACTTAAAATTGCATAAAAACATGATTTGTGGGTTTTTAGTTTTAAGTGAATTATCAGCTTGGAGACATTTAAAGTAAACCTCTGTGTCTATAACCAATAGGCTATTTACAGAGCTTTGATGACTGATGTTAAATTAAAAAAATATTCAAAAGTTAACTATTAAAAAGAATAACTGAACATAAGTTCACAAATAAAATATATGTGACCCTGGACCACAAAACCAATCATAAGTAGCACGGGTATATTTGTAGTAATATCCAACAATACATTGTTTGGGTCAAAATTATAAATTTTTCTTTTATGCAAAAAATCATAAGGATATTAAGTAAAGATCATGTTCCATCAAGATATTTTGTACATTTCCTACCGTAAATATATCGAAACATAATTTTTTATTAGTAATATGCATCACTAAGAACTCAATTTGGACAACTTTAAAGGCGATTTTCTCAATATTTAGATTTTTTTTTGCAACCTCAGATTCTCAAATAGTTGTATCTCAGCCATTGTCCTATCCTAACAAACCAAACATAAATGGAAAGCTTATTTATTCAAATTATATAAATCTCAATTTCAAAAAAGTTGACACTTGTGACTGGTTTTGTGGTTCAGGGTCACATATTGCTTAAATTATTACTGCCTTGAATTAATTTGGAATAAATGTAAAATTTTTAGAAACTTGATGATATTGTATACTTATACATACTTAATCGGATATTGATTACTTTGGTACAAACTTTTGGTAATTTTTTTTCCTTTTTCAGAGGGTGTAAGTAATGTTTACTTAACTAAGAAAAAATGTGACTGGGACAAGAATTTACATTTGATAAAAATAAAAAAAAAACTTTTGCCTCCTCATTTCAGAACAGAACAACGTCGCACACCACTCTTACATACATACACACACACACACTCTTCCTGTTTGTTGCTGCCGTGTGTTTTGAGTTTGAGCTCCGTCAAGTTAATTCTTTGTCGTCTAATTTTTTATCTTAAAATCAATTTTATACACCATAATTTTCGTTTCTATAATGTGTGAATATATCCCCTATCGTATTCTACAACAAAAACAATCAGAGCGCCTTGTTATTACTAGCTCTAATTTTTGACTTCCCGAGTCCGCTATTAGCATATAGCCCGCTAGCATCGCCAACGTGGTTGCCGCTAATCTCGCTTACATTACTAATACACTATTCACTGTTACTTGCTTTAATGGCGGATGTGTGTCTACCTTTGAGTGCAGGTGAGGACACGTTCAAGCTGCATTCGGTGCAGCTCGAGCTGGAGGCCATGGAGAAGCAGATCCGTGACCTGGTGGCAAAGCAGACCTAGCTGAGAGAGCGGAGAGCCGCGCTGGAAACATCCCAGGCTGACGCTCACAAGTCCGAGGTAAGTATACAGCGCGCTG